AATTATATTTTACAAGCTTCAATCTATCTTATTTGTATTTTTCTGATTCTATAGTTTTATATAGCAGTTATTCAGTAATCTCAGTATTCTAGTTCTATAAGTATAGCCTGGTCAAATATAGTATCCAGTCATAGAAGTTAATAGAGATACTTTCATACTAATATTTATTTACTTTATTTCTCCTTTTCCTTTGTCTAATAGTAGGATATCTTATTAATTCTTAATTCTTTTTATCACTACTTTCTCTCTAGTATAGAGTACTAAATAATGACCTTTTTCTTATTGCCTTCAAGTTATCCAAGTACTTCTCTTATAATCTTTTAATCTATTGCTATTACTATGTTCAAGTTAGTAAGTATTTATTCTTTATTGGTTTAGTCTCCTTAAGAATTTCATTCTTTGTACTTTAAATTACTAATAAGGCTATTAATAGAGTATTGATATAGTACTAGTACTTTAAGTAAGTTTGTTCCTAAAAAGGCTCCATACTATTTTGCTTTTTGGATAGCAGATTTAAGAACTATAGCTAACAAACTTATCCTGTACTACCTAGTTACTCTGGTAAGCTTCATGTTCATAAGCAGATAAGATTATCTTTCTTATCACTTATTTCTATATCTTACAGTTTTAAATACTGTATTACATATAATTATAATATAAAAATTTATACCTTTCTCTTCCTAAATGTAATTGCTGATAAAACTATTTCTTAGAGAAAATCTCAGGTTGTCATAGTAGTTTTTCAATTGATTTTTTGGATATGAAAACTGCATAACAATTCTTAGAAATCAAAAGATTAATAGTAGTTAGGTTAACTTGTATAGGGGAAGTTATAAGACCTCTTAGTTGAGTATGCAAAGTAGGAGATTGGGAAGTCAGGTGAGTATAGAGAAGAGTTATCAGAAATACTTTTGGATATAGCTCTCTTTAAGTATAGAAATAATTTATAACAAATATCAATTTTCTGTGAAAATATAGTAAGGTAAATAAAAATAGAAACATGAAGAGATATATATATATATCCTAAGTTATTTCATAGCAGAATTGTTACAACAGTATAGGAATACTGTTCTATAATGGACTGAACTGAACTGGTACAATACTCTTATTGGATTGAACTTTGTACTATAAGTAATTTATATAGTATTTTATAGTAATTTATAAGACTAGCTCCTATATTACCAATAGGAAATAGTATTTATAGATAGCAAGTAGGCTATTGTAAATACAAGATATATGTTTACAGATAGAAATGGACTTAGTAGCTATAAGCCTGAGATTTTAGTACAGAAGTTAAAAGGTATTTCTCTTCTACTATTTAATTGGATTCATTTTCTAACTCTTGACTTAACTGTATTTGTATGCTAGATTTTTTATTTCAGAAGTCCTTTTCAGCTTCTGTGTATTTTTGGAAAACTTAATTTCTTTAAAGGCCACATTGACCCTACTTGCATTTATCTATTCATCCTCCGAGTCTCTTTAGTCTACCTTGTAATACTCTATGTATATTTCTGTTGTTCTGAGCAGACTTACACAATAATATTTTTCCTATCCTGGAACCAGCACCAGTTAGCTCTAGAGGCTACCTCTATTAAGAGCTGGAATTGGTGGAGGAAGAATATTGTACTGTTTTTGAGATATTTTTAGCTAGGGGAATAGATGTATCTATTTTACTATAAATGTAAACTTATTTAATATTTTGAAACAAAATAGAGTAATCCATAAAAAAATATATCTACATTTAACTACACCGGAGTTTCTAAGCTCAGGTGTAGTGTCTGCTGTATCTGGATAGAAGCCTTTAGCAAATTGGAAGAATGGCAGCTTTATATAGGAATGGCATATGGGAAACAGTACCAGCCTTGGGGGGTGCCTGCAAGAGGGGCTAGAGAACCTTCGAGGGAGATTATTGCAGGGAGGGTTTTTAGCAAATACATCGTACATTAGCAGATATTAGAGCTTCTGAGATCCAACTCGGATAGATTTAACGTGTTCTCATCCGAGAAGGCACAGCACCATTCAAACACTGATCCGGAGAGACCTTCTCCTTCTAGGATTGCTGTAGAGGAGCTAAGATTTGGCAGTAGTAGATTGAAGCTTTTTAACACTTGGTTTCCCTTCTCCGACAAACGATGAGATAACATCGGAGGTAGCATGGCAGAATTGCTTTGAGCCGAACGATATTTGACAGATACCGGGACAAGATGCCTAGATGCAAACCTGCCCTCTTTTTCATTTTTTTTCTCCCTCCATGCTCTCGCCCACGGGATTTGTGCCCGTCAAACCTCGCTATCCCGGAATTCGATACCACGGAGATCTCACTATCCCGTATGGGATTCTACGAATTCCAATTTTGTTCACACCCCAAAACTTGCCCAGCCATCCCGTATCACTCACTCCTTGCACTGGATAGTTTTGTCGGATTTTTATCCTGTCCGGGATAGCGAGGCGCGAGTACTGTTCCTTCTTCTCCTCCGTCAACCCCCTGGTTCTGGCATCGTGTCTTACAGGGCTAGGGGGTGACAACAATGGGTGGTTGGTCTGGGATAGAACTTTGCGCGGCTTGTTTTACAATTTGCATGGTGGAAAAATGCAAGTTCTAGATAGAACTGGGGGTTTCTATTTGATGGGATTGCAAAAATGTCTCGAAGTGTCCCCGGGAGGAGTGATTCAGTGTGTTAATTTTTGGGACTGGGAATGAACTGAAAAGGGTGCGGATCTGCACTGTTTTAGGGGCGTTCCGTGGGTGCCTGCACAAGATAGGAAGGGGAAAACAATGGTAGAAGGTCCAGTGAACCGCAGAGATGGTGCAGGAGCTTGGATCAGTGGTGGGTACTAACAAGCATGTAATAGAGCTAATCTGGACTCCTGATTTGGTTAATGAAAGAAAGTCTTGAGTTGGCGAGATACCCTACGAGTAGATACTATTCTATTAGGGTAAAGTCAGAGTGGATTGGGTAGACTTTTATCTCTTTTACTTCCTTAGGACTAGAGTGTTTTTTTTTGGGCATTCTTGAGAATAGATATGTTTTCGCGGGTGGGTTTGAAAATTCTCCCCTGGATAACGAATGGGGCGCTTTCAATCCCGTTGACCTGCCGGTACAGTACTACAAGTAGTACTCGAGTACAGTATCGTACAGTACGCCGATGTGTCCGTTGTGGTTTAGCGTAGCAAATTCCGCTGCCGGGGACCCGATCTGGTATGGCGCTGGAAGTTGCGGGGGGGGTGTGGGTACTCGTACAGTACGAGTATCCCAGTATGGTACGGTAGCCCCACTGTGGGGTTTTTTTTAAAACTGCGGGATGGTAGTCGACAACTCTGGTCTGCAGCTATATTATGAAGTTTAGAACCACCCCGTACTCCAGTACGATACCAGTACGAGTACTTAGCCTTCGGTTAGGACAACGAACAAAAGGGGTTTTTTATCCCTTGGTCGCTCTGAAATAACTTGGTCAAATTCGTAGCCAGGCACAATGATCAAAATAATATTCGCTATCTATTTGTACGGCACATTTACTTTCTCCAGATCAGCGGACAGCTAGCTATTTCGGGTTATAAATATAATATTGGTTTTTCGATGTTCGGGTGACTAAGCATCATAGGAAACATTGATTTCCAACGAATCACAACACTCGGAATCCCCTAAAAACCTGATTTAGTGTGCCTGGCTACGAATTCGACTGTTTCAGGACGACAGAGGGAGAGACGCTTTACCCGGAGAGACAGCTGCGACGTCCTGCTGCTCTTCACTTGACGGTATCGCATGGCATTGGGAATGTGTTTTTTTTTTTTTTTTTGTGGCGGTGGTAGTTGGAAGACCTATCATATTTGGGCATCTGTGAATCCTGTGATAGGTGTATTGAGGGATGCGAGGTAACTCGGTCTAATGAGGGGCTGGTTTTTTTCTTCTTTTTTTCTCGGAAGAGGAGGGGATCGGGGAACGGATTTGCTTTTTCCCTCTTTTTTTCCTTTTGGAATTGGGTTTGTGTTTGTATCGTGGGGGGGGTTCTTGATTTGACCGAATGGACAAGTTCATTCGGTCAAGTTCGTGGGGGACGGCTTCACCACGCATCTGCGCCAAGAATGCCTGTGGAGGACCAAATACCCCATCGGTAGGGTGCAAGTATCGTTAGCGAGGACGCCCCGCGAAATGTTGGCTGCTGGAGGCAAATCCTCGGGAGAAAGATGCAGAAGCGGAGTATCATATTGATCACTCGAGTCGGTACATCCGGGTGGGATGTTTGGCACCTCGCGTCGTTCTCCTCGCCTCCGTGAGCAGGCGGAGTGTGAGTATCGATGGATACTTGCACAGTACCACTACACTGACGTAATTGTGTAGAAATGTGGGTATCAGTCTATTGTCGCCTGGCCGGGGGGAAAACAAAAACAAAAAAAACATTTGAAGTTTTAGGGGAAAGGCTGGACGAACGGACGAACGGACGGACGGACGGACGAGGAGAACGGAAGGGGAAGGGAAGTGGCGGGGATGATGCCCTGAAGGGGCGAGGCGTTCCGATTGGAGTGAATATGCTGATTCGTTTTAATTGGCTTGGATTGATGATGGGTAATTTAGATGCGCTTCGCGTGTTTTCTGGTTGTTAGGATTGTCGGGTGTTTGATCGGTGGCGGCGGCCATGACAATTATTCGCGGTGGAAATGGAGATGCTAATGTTTACGGATGGTGCGTCATTGCGGGATGGGTGGGTGCATAATTGGTGATTTGTGAGTGGGGCATTTTTTCTTCTTTTCTCTTTATCCATTCTGGATGGGAATGTTTTGGGGGCGGGGGCGTGGTGATGGTGGATTGGGAACACTATATTCCCTTGGTGATATGTCTTGAGAGCGTGCTAGATATCATACTAATATGTACGGGGACAGTGTTTTTTTTAATTTTATTTACTGAGGCCTGGATTTTTCCTGTGGCGGGGTTTTTTATTGGAGGAATTGGTGTCAGTTTTTTTTACCAGAGACCAAGTGAAAATAAGTGCGAGTGATTTTTCGTGAATGAGTGTATTTATTTCTACCTATGCATTGCAGGGGCGGTTGGGATGGGCGTGATGCAAACCATCTACGAGCAGCTGCTCGTGAATGTACCCTATGTGCGGGCCTTAGGCAAACAAAAGGGACTCGGCCGCTTCGAAATACCTCCCTCCGACGATCTGGTTGCTCCCAATTATCCCCTCAAGCTCCGAGTACTCCTCCTCCGTGAGGCCAACCTCTTGACAATTCTCCTCAACCCTCCCCGCGGTGGTCGCTCCGGGAATCGGCAACAAGTCCGGCATCCCATCCCTCCCGCTCTGGTACCTCACCCACTCCATCGCCAACTGCGCAGGGGTGCACCCCTTCTTCTTTGCGAGACCCTCAACCCTATTCACGAGCTCGATGTTGATCTTAAAGTTCTCGGGCTGGAACCTGCTGAAGCGCCTCCTGAAGTCGTTCTCCGGGAGATCTTCCGGGGACTTTATCTCCCCCGTCAGGAACCCCTTCCCAAGCGGACTATAGGCGACGATGGGGATGTTGAGTTCGGCGCAAACACTGGCGACTCCGTTCGTGCGTATCTCCGTCGCCCAGAGCGAGTACTCGATTTCCACGGCGGCGATCGGGTGCACAGCGTGGGCCCTGCGGATGGTGGCAGCGCCGGACTCACTGAGTCCTATGCCTCCGATTTTCCCCTCCCTCACGCACTCGGCGAGCGCGCCAATCGTCTCCTCAATCGGCGTCCTGGGGTCCACCCGTGCGCACTCGAATATGTCGATCTTCTTCACGCCGTCGAGGATGCGTAGGGTGTTGTCCACGGATTTGCGCACGTCTGCCGGGGACCCCAGGGCTCTGAGGTTTGACATGTCTACGCAGCCTTTGATGCTTAGGATGACCTTGGAAGCGTCCTCCGGGTACTTTTTGAAGTAGCGGTGAAGGAGTTGGAGGCCGAGGGTCGGGTCCGGGGTGCCGTAGAATTCGCCCGAGTTCCAACAGATAGCGCCCTTCTCTATCGCTTTCTGTGATTATATTAGCGGGACCGATGAGAATTCGGCGGGGTCATAAGCCGGGGGGATATATATACCTTCATCGCTGCGAAAGCCTGTTCATCGGGCGTCTGGTGGGGTCTCCAAGTGAATCCCAAGAGCCCGTATCCAGTGCTGCCGACAGGAGTATTGCAGATGGTAATCATCGTGCTTTTGAATTTCTTTCTTTTTATGTCCTTGCTGATATCTTTTTTTTTCCAGAGGTTATTCTGATCAGGTTTGCGTCTTGGGGATCGGTGTCGGGTCCTGGAATTGGAGGGCGGGCGGAATTCGGCTCCTTATATCGTCATTGATCTTAGGCGTGAGTTTCTCTACTGTAGATCAACGGCCTTCCTTGATGCCGGAGTTAGCGGGAGATAAGCGACCCACCTTTTCCGCTGAAGCACCAACATACCCTTCCCGCGGAATTAACTCCACTCCGACATCCTTGCTTTATGTGCTGTGCTTGTACCCTTCTTCTTCCCCCGATTTTGGATAAAACAAAATGATATTACTTTGAGGTGGGTCCGTACTTTACGTGCGGTATTAAGAGCGCTTGTATGATAGCTAAAAATAAAAGTGGAAAAAAGCTTAAAATGTTGTGTCATCGAGGGTAAATTACACGACTAGCGGGTGCAAAAGGTAGGAAGATCCATCAAATTGCGACCCTGGAGATCTTTTCACTGGAAGATGGAGTTCGTTCTTTAGTTTACGGGGGGACAACTGTGGAATGGCCTCGCTCTTCGCGCTCCATCACTGGCCTGCCCGTACACACATCTCTTTCTCGGCATGGTCGCTCGGAATCCGGTGCTATGGATTTACCACCACTAATCCCGAGCATGAGAAGTACCGTACTCACAAGAGTGGTGGAACGTGTTTCTCCTATCCTGGGAATTTCACCTGACCCGGCCTATTATTTCGCCGCTTCCGAGTGCTCGGCATAAAGAACTCGAGCACAGGGCGGGGGGGTAGGGTCCTTATCTGCATAACGATATATGAGCGCTCTTGCTAAATTCAGACTCGGATGTTCAGGTGCTAAATTCTGGGGATCATACTTGCACTTCTAGGCTACAGTGCTAGGGATAGCCTATGGGGGTGGGTGGCTGGGTGCTGACCACCGGTACCGGTACCATACCCCGGGGTTAGGATGCTACAAGCACAAGTATGAGCTCCTCGCATTCCTCCCACACGGCCGGGGTTTGGCGCTGCCCCGCAGTTATTCGCGGCCGCCCACGAAGGGTCCAAAAGGCGGGGTTAGGCTTGGAGGAGGACTGGGAGAGGTGGGGTTTGCGGAAAGAAACTGGCGCGAGATGTGAGGGGATATCCGGAGTTAGTGGTCTATTTACCGGACATGGGAGAGATATGGAGCAGGCGGAGGATAAGGCAATACGGGCTGAGTCCTTGCTGTTTGGCTTCACTACAGCATGCTTGGTCATTAGAGACTTTGCGATTTTGCATCTAGAGTCAAATCTTGTTGGTCTCGTTGGCTCAGAACACCATTTGACCCACGTCCAGAGGTTTTTCGCAAAGTCCCTATTATGTTAGCTGGCTCTGTGCTAGAGGGTTTAGTTTTATGTCTTGTTGGCATGCGTAGCTTGATGTAAGATACATTTTTCCTTGTCCTTCCTTCCTTCCTCATGTAACGTCTTTTCTGCCATGATAGCAATTGCAGAGATAATTCCTGTTCGCCCTTTCCCTCCATTCCTATTCACTCGCTCCCTATCCCTATCCTCACGGAGCTGACTCCTTCCCACGGACCCAATCCCTCCGGTTTGCATTGGCAGTGAGCCCTGCAAAAGAAATTGCCTACCAATTGCCTACTTGATCCTAATCTCCCGGCGACTTCAAACCGGCGACTTGAGTACACAATATTCTTTTGTGACGTCTCTCCTTCAAAGCCTTCTTTCCAGTAATATAGTATTGTAGAAATTCCCGTAGTGCGCATTTTGGGGGCCGTGGGGTACAGTGGGTCTGGGTATGGGCATGGACTAAAAGTGGCCCATTCACCCAAGGAGGATGCGGTTCCGGAAGAAATATCATACTTGTCGTATGGCACCTACGGTGGTTGAGGGGCGTGAATTCTTGAACACCCCTCTTCGGCGATGCTAAGGGCCTACTTGGTTGCGATGGCCCTGTGTTCTAAAATACACACGGGTTTTCCGGACAAGAGGTGTTACTAGAATACGTTTAAAGGTATTAAGGCATGTTAATTGTATATTAAGAAAAAAATTCTGGGCAGGATAACCCGTGCAACACATGTGTAGAACACACAGTCATCTCAACACGCTATGGTGCTGGCCGTCTATAACGTTCTCCAGGTCTATTGCAACGGGGACGCAGGTTAATTTAGTGCTATCATACTGTGAAAGCTGGGTAATAACCCTACGATGACACAACAGCACCCATTTAACCTGCCGTTGCATTCCAAGCCTACGTCCCCGTTGCAATAGACTTGGGGAACGTTATAGACGGCCAGCACCATATCTGCCAAACACCCCCCTTGACCTTTAGGGGGTGTTTTGTATATTAGTTTGTGGGGTAATACCTTATGAACCGTGGTCTATAAGGTATGCCTTACACACGTGCCAAACGCCCCCTAATAAACGGCTGTTGCGAATTTAGCCCCCTTCACTTCCGGAAAAACATGCCATCTTACCGCATGGCAACCGTACCGTTATGGCTGTCTTGAAACGGAACGGTTGACGCCCCTCACACCCGCCAAACAGCCATTCCGCCCTCCCTCCCCATTGGGGACGGAAGGGAAACGGTCACTCCCGCCCTACGGGACAACGGAACCGGGCCACCGCAACCAAACAGGCCCTAACAGTGGGATTGGGATTGAAGGAGGAGGGAGAGGCAATGGGGCAACCGGCGCAACAAGGGGACACAAAGGGCATTCTCGCCACGGCTTAAATGGCTGTTGAGAGGCAATTGGTATGGGTGAATATCACATACAAACTCTGCTCTCCCTCTAATACCACTCTTGACAGATTATTCTCTGACTGTCACTGCATTCAAGGGATCAGTGGGATAAGGTCTCAGTTTGAAACTCTAGCAATTTATTGCCAATTGACGAAGAATATTGGTATTTTCAGGTCTCGTTATTGTCATAAAAGGCACTCTTGGACACGGCACACGATGGACTAAATGATATGGTAGTGCTTTATTCATGCAGTCTCCACCGCTCCATGATATCCCTTGTGCTCGCGGTTGTCCTTCACTGCAACCTGCAGTCTCGCATGACTTTAGGATTTTAAAATTTCACTGCCTCATCCTGTGGTGCCCATTACCCAATGCATGGATGGCCGTCCGGTCCCTCGTCTTGTCAGCCATTATCCTGTCACATAAGTCAACTGGATCTATCCAACACAAAGCTCCCAGAGAATCTCTACCTGCCACGTAATACCCTTTGCTGCCGGGCTACCCTCTGGATACCTAGCACTATATAGAGAGTCCTTTTCCGATTTTGCTTCATTTTCTGGGAGGGATCCAGGAGGAGGGGGGGGGGGGGGGTTTATACTATTTTGAAAGTCACCTGATCTAGTATGTTTGTTCATGTTTGTGTACATGACGTCCCTGGATGATGTGTACAATATTGTCCTTCCAACCATCATCATGCCCCTTTTTCTGAAATATGAGACCCGGAGGCAGGCAGACAACCAGTGAGGAAGGGCAGATGAATCGAGACTCATACATCTCTAGCACACCCCATCAGAGCAGGAGAGGTAAAGGGGATGGCTTGTGTGTTTATCCTTCACCTATCATAGCTTTACTCATAGTTGAACAATATTTACAAACACGGCCAGTATTGCATGACACCAAGATCTAAGCAAAAAAAACCTCGAATTTTGGCAGTATGCAATAGTAGCTGTGCTCATGGGCATCGTTAAATTACAAGCAGCAAGTGCAAAGGATTTTAGATGCCCTTTAAGGTAGTCGTCGAGGGCCCAGATGGTTTGTAGGACCACGGAGCAGAGATTTTCGTTCCGGAGGCCTACTTGTTGGCTAGACGAGCCATCGTTCAAGAGCTTCTTGACATCCCCGTCCCACACCATGGGGTCCTGTATCTGGCCTCGGGTAGTCCGGAAATGTCAAACGTACCCATCGAATGCCCACCCGGGTATGTTTAGGGTTACGAAAACCTCCATTGAGCACGTTGGTTATCCTACTAGACTCCCCAAAGCCTTCGCTTGGATTCCAGGATTCCCAATATGCGTGCTCGTATATGCGGGGAAAAGGGGGTAGTTGTTGAAAACATTAGCGTCCTTGCTTTCCACCGTGTATTGGAAAAGCGAGGCCGAGTGGAGGGTGGGAAACCCGAGTGACAACTTGTGGACTTAGCTAATGAGAATCTCTTGGCAGGGCGGGAGCTTACGTTAGCCTCACTGTCAACGGTATCATACTCGAGTCGGTTACGATGCTCGTAGGAACCATAAACTCGTTAGACTAAATCCACCATCGGAGATCTCGACCAAAGTCGTTATCTAAACCGCAATGGGCTCAGCCGAGCGGCTTAGCGAGATTATGAATATCTGTTAATGAGATCTAGACGACTCACGCTCCTCTAGCTATACTTGAGTACTCTGTCTGGAAAACAGTATCCCCTGTCGCCGTGTTTTGTCTGATCTGGCAGGGATGCTGAGCGATGGGTGATGGTGGATTTAACGAGTTTATACGGTGCTCGAGTACTCCAGCACAAGTTGCTAGCTCTAAAAACTAACTAAGGGCCTGTTCGGTTGCAACTCATATTCGAAATGGTATTCTTAGTGAGAAGCAGAAAATCACATTTTCCGAGGAATCACTGGAAGTCAGATTTTTGTTTTGTCAAGTGTTCGGCAAGATCAGGTTTTTTTTTCTTATATTTGACGATCGAACACAACTACTATTTTCTAAGATGTCATTTTTGGTAAAAATGGAGATTGACTCCTGAATACCCCATATCTCATTGCAACCGAACAGGCCTAAATCCTCTCACTATCAGGTTGCCTACGGTAGTGGAGATTCCCCTACGGTACTGTAGACCTTCCGGAGACGGCGGGTTTAACGAGTTTTCTTTCTTTCTTTTTTTTCTTTTCAGGGGGGAGTACTTTCCCTGTCGCCCGTTTCGATTGGTCCAGCAAACCTCTTGACTCAACTGCACGCTCTTCCTCTCTGCTCGTGCGTCTTCGCTCGCCCGCTGTCGCGGGACTCCATTCGCTCAGGAACCATGCGCAATATTCTATTTGCCAGCGCAGCGGTTGTCCATTCGTCCCAACGTTTCCGACGACAATTGGCTCGTTCCTGCAGTGCAGTGGGACGGGGTTGAAAAGTGGGGGGCGAGGCTCGAGTAGTCTTCGTATATATTGCTCGAGCAGGGAGACCCCTCTTGCTGGAGAAGTCATAGCCTTCTCATTCACTATCATCGCTCATTTATCTTTTTTGTTTGATAAAATACATTGAAGATGCAGGTCCTCTTCACTCGCAAGACGGTCCAGGACTCCGGGGTCATTGGGGAGGATGTGCTGGACATTAAATTTTCCAATGATCTTTCTACCTCCTTGACGTTGAGCATCCGGCCATTTACAGGTGACTGCGATGTCAAAATTCCTGCCTCGACTCCTCCTGCTCTTTCTGCTCCGCCGTCGCCGCCGCTACCACCATCACTCCCGGAGTCGGTTACGGAGGCCAAAGTGGAGGAGGAGCCCGAGTCGGTGACACTTCCTCCTCCGGCGCCTGCGACTTCGATAGCAACTCAAACTAGCCTCCCGACACCTACAGTTACGTCCATGCCGCCTCCCACCTCGCTACTCGATACATATAAAGTCCACCGACTCGACCGGATATTTACCGCCGATAGGTTCTACAAGTACCTTCTATCGGCACCTTCCACATCCGCATACATTACCGCAGACGACGAGTTCCGGTCGGTATTGCACGGAATCGCCGGGGCGGAGGACTGCAGCGCCGATTTGGTGGTTGAGGCATACGATGGGATGAACGAACTGCGGAGAGCCATGATGGTGGAGGTCATCAAGGTTGTTGAGGAGGGTCTGGAAAGGGATGAGAACGAGAGGCTGGATGAATGGATTAAGATTGAGGTGCCCAAGATTTCAGACGAGTATATGTAAAGGATGAGCTCAGGGGGGGGTTGTGTTTATTTTATGTCGGAGTTCTTTGGCCAGCAGGGGGGCGGGCGTTACTATTGACTTTTTTCTGCTTTTTCTTTTATTGTGACTATAGATGAGGACCTGGAATACATGAGCTACTTATCACCTATTTACATGTTTTGTTGGACACAAAGCTTACGATATATAATGGAGCCAAGGTATCAAATGTCCCATGGGCCCTCGCCCAGTCACCGTAAGAACTCGAATAATTGGCACTCGCGCTAGGACGTCTAAAATACCTCTCTCGGATAGGGAGGCCAAAACACTGCGAAAACTGACCTCCTGAGCCCCAGCTTAAGATAGAAATATGCCGGACCCTGCTAGTAACAGGAAGTCCAACGTCCTAGCACGAGTGCCAATTATTCGAGTACTTACGGTAGGAGATTCGACGCTCAGCCAAATGCACCCTTACAAATGTTGTCGGGAACCGGGAGGGTTTAAAATCCAGGGCATTCCGACTCCTATTATAGGAGCGCGGAAGCAGACAGTGCTATGATAGATCAAAACGTTCCGTCCGGTAGCCTTTCTACACCAAAAGTATCCGTTTCTACCCTCCCGCAACTTGGACAGCGCCTGTTACTATGGGGATTTACCAGAATCCCATGTTGGTTATCAAACCCTGGATAATATGCAGTATAGCCCTCCACGGAAGTCATGAAAAGTTGGAGCGGAGGGGATGTGGCCTGAATGGGAGGTATCATACAGAGCTTTAAAGTCATTCTCACCGCTGAGCTGTGGGCTCGGTCTTAATTCTTTTTTTTTTTTTTTTTTTTCAAAGTTGATATCGAAATTCTAAGTTCTTTTCTGACTGGACTTTCCAACAAATTTGGTGTGAAAAACAAAAACTATGTCGGGTGGGGCCTTTTCTGTTGTCATGTCATGTTTTTTTTTTTTAAAAAAAAGAATAACCTAATAATATTATCGAAATTCTAAGTTCTTTCTAACAGTGGACTTTCCGAAGAAATTTGGTATGAGAAAAACCATGTCGAGTGGGGCCTTTTCAGTTGTGTATCATGTCATACTTTTTTTAATCTTTTTATTACCAACTCCGTGAATATGTGATAGATACCTTGCAGTCATTATACGTCAAGAACTATGATAGCAGTTTCCCAACGCGGTGGATAGGCATGTCGCGTTGAACGCTCTTCTTTCCGAGTTGCTGTACCGTAGAGCACTGCACTGTATCATAGGTTCCCTTATAGAGCGTTTCCTGGCGGAGTGTCCTGCGGAAAGGCTAGCCCTGTGCTCGGACTGGCTTCGGATATCATCGATAAGAGTGAATACCTACCTAGCCATATATATATTACTTGCCCTACACTTGCGGGATAAACTGCAGCACTCACCCCCCTTACACCCATGCTCTCTGTCACGGTCTTATGAAACAACTGGGAAAGGTGGGTGTTTATTCACCGAATATCACTCGGAATCCCCAACGAGTAGACAGAATCGTTAGTTTTTTTGTGAAAACGCTCATAAGTTGGTATATGGCCATGTGCTCGCTCTTGGAAATTCTCGCTTCGTGCTGGCTGGTACTATTTGCTGATTGGGGGGTGTCGGGAAGTATGCCCTTGCGAATTACTCGGGATTATCTTGTTATTATGATACCTTAGTTTATCGTACGCGATGTTGGTTTTCGTCATCTGGATTGACTCGACTGTAGTAGTGCGAGTGTACCACCTGTGGTCGAATTCGTGCTGTGGTGGAGTAATGATTGGTGTTCATTAGTCCGAATTTTCATCTTCGTTTGTGATGTTGATGGAACTCTGGATGGGAATGTCTCGGTATCTGTGGGTGTTTACTATCGTTTGGAAAACGTTTCCAAGTCTTTCAAATCACAATCCAGGGCACAAATTTCTTGGTTATTTGTCTATTATATTGTACTTGGTACTCTACATACCATTAAATCTGATACCAATATTCTAATATAATAATTATTATGTGGCCGGAAATAAAAATAAAAAAATTTCTTGCCCCAAATTGTGTGCCCTTTACTGTATCCTCGAAATCATGATTTAGAAACAGCGTCCAGCCAAAAATCATGAACATCCGAAATCACAATCTGAGATGGTCACTAGCTCAAATCACGGTGAACCAAACACCCCCCCTAGCCGCCAAAAGAAGTAGGGGCATGGACTTCTGTAACTAACTGCCAGAAAAATAAAGTGAAAATAAAAAGAATGTGATTGCTGTTGTGCAGTGCGAGTGATATCATACCTCAGATCCAGTCCCAGGGAAGTTATTTCAAAACACCCCCCCAAAAAAAAACAGGTGGAATTAACGTACTCAGGTAGAAAAACCAGAATATCCATTTATTCAGGAGCAGCCACTGTATCTCAAAGGAGCTGTTCCCAAATCACGATCTCAAACCTGGGCTATCTTGAATCAGAGTGAGTCAAACACCCCCTACTCTTCCGCTCGATGCCCGCCGTTTTAGTTGAAAAGGATTTCGTAAGATGTCACCACGGGAGGGGTTAGACTTGATACCCAAAATATATAGAAATGGCTCTTTCAGATGCCCTTTCCTGCTTTTTTTTGATATTGCACAGACCACTTACGTTATCGTGACATCTAGGAGGGTAGTGATTCACCTTAAGTTAACCTACTAGCACACGCTCTCTTATGCGAGTTAATACGGCGTGTTATACTCTTAGGGGTTTTACTGGTTTACCCTGGCTACGCAATCATATTGTGCCTGGACGGTCATAAAAACTTTTACTAAGGCGTCCCCGGTGCATACTATTTTGTTCACACAATCCCTGCGTTCGTTCCCGAATTTCACGGACTTGCTTGTGGCGTGATCACTCAGTGCGGAATCTAGTTCTCTAATGGCGGTTTGTGTATGATGGTTGCACCTATTATCTCAGACTAAGATTAAATAGTTCTCAAAGATGAACAAATTGAAAGTGAGAATCAACTCCATCCCTGCAAGGAATTTGCTGTTCCCCGGAATACAGATAAAACCCACTTTGCCTAATCACTGTCCCCTACCCATCTCACCTCAGTATTGAGGCACCTCATAAACTCCCAGTATGCATCCGTCACTTCAGTTGGGTCACCTGAGAGGTAGCCTTGCTCAAAACCGTCACCATGTTCCGTGAAGACTGTTATAAAGTGTGCGAATCGGCGGTGGAACTCGTCGCTAACGGTTTTCTCCTTACAAGCTATGGTTGTAGCATGCGCGTTCAGGATATCGATCGTTTCTTGGTGGCCTGTTCTAGTTAGTATGAACAATTTTTTTAAAAATGCTTGTGGCTAGCAAAGAATACTCACGGATCTGAGACACAATAAGAGGGTGAAGCCCGTAGAGGCTCGTATAGGTTTTCGCATCGCTTCTCTCACCGTCGTCGGTATAAAGTGCGGCGTCGGCGATTGCATCCCCACACTCAGCAGACTGATTGCCCTCGCCAATAATCCCTAGATCAGTACTCGTGGCATTGCCGAGAATATCCCTTTTGAAGGTACTGATGAAACGGTTCCTTAGTGGTTTGTAAGAATCTTCGCAAAGGGTCAGAGTTTGGACACGGTGTTCCAGGGAGGCCTGATGTTCTCGAAGCGAGATAATACGCTTCTCGAATGACTGGAACAGCTGCATAATTTCTTCAATAAGTACTAGAGGATCCGTGGAGTGAACAAAGAGGCATCCATCGAGGGAGGAATCTCCCTTTCCCAGCGCAGTATAGTGCCCCGTCTCGTATGTCATTTGTCTGACTTCCATATCATTTTGATTTTCTGGAGCAGGAGGAGCGCCGGGGTTCGTTGCCGCCCGGTCGAGGTGGGCCAAGGTCGCCTGTGCGTTGTATAGGCTCTGGGGATTATTGGATACTGTTAATGTGGAACACATGGTGTTTGTTGTGGATTACCGGTACGACGGAGGAGGGTTCGTGCGGGATAAGGGAGTTGGTTGCTTCTCGTTGCAAGTGCGGATGTCGCCACTCTTATACTTTCCCAAATACTGGGTGGGCTGCCCTGCTTACATAATCCTTGGCTCTTGATCAGCTGACGCGGAGAAAAGTGGCTATGCTGTGGCCACACACCTGTTATTGATATGATAGGTGCTGACATTTAGGGTCCGCTTACATTCAGACATATCATACTCGTAGTGACTGTGAAGACTGTTGAGGCAGGCTTGACGCTGGAAAGTTTGTGGGCTTCAACCCGGCCTGGTATTTACAGTATCATACCTGGGGTGCTATGGTAATTTATCTACCATGGCGGCGCTGCAACCGCACACCCCTGGCGCGGATTACCGTTGGATTACAACGGAATTTGTTGACTGCGGAGAACAAGGTATGATAGGCACTTTTAAATCATCTGCTACAACATAGGGCTGGCTGTGACGTTACCATCTACTTCATTAGAGAAATTTGGGATCCAGACGGTGCGGTAAACCCACCCTCTCTTTATATTTTCCTCTTTCTGATTAGAAACTGCCCCTATGCTAGGGTATCTGTCACTATTGTCTCAATTATACCCTGTTAATGTCTTGCGTCCCTTCGTTCCTTCTCCAATTTCGTACACTTTTAGGGATTTTAGTGAGCACTGAATGTAGTCCTCTAATGATGGTTTAGGGAAGATTGTTGCAATCATTATCTCATAGACTACTAGGTTTTTTGGAAAGCTCTCCACCCCTCTCATCACCTCAGAGCGCGTGATTTGGGTTACTGCTGTAGTTCTTGTTTGTTAGTGTACTTGTAGTACGAGTAACCGTGCCAAGGTTGTGACGGACGTCACAACCTTGGCACGGTTAAGTGCTGTCCTGAGTGGTGCGCGTCTACAAAGTTCTAGTAACTAATAGTGTCGCTTACTAACGGCCACAGTGGCTGCACGAAATTTTTCAGGTTCCAGGAGTCTTGGGGGTGGCCCGGCGCTTGAGAAGGGATGGGCTCAATTTGACCCAAAGTGGCCCTGCCAACTCCAACCCAATCTCGCTGATTTCCAAAATGGTCGCTCTCAAAACTCTCAAATACTGCGGATCACAGGCTGCCATGGGGGCGTCCATTATTCACTCGATGTCAGGAAGCTATAGGTCATGTTTGCGAAATACTGCGTTTTCCGCCTCCCTGTAGGTTGCCATAGATGCTTCTGGAGGTCCCGGCGTCGGCTACTGTCTGCGATACGTATTCTTCGATTCTGATGGGCACTTTCATACCTAGCTCTCCCGGGGTACACCTATCTCACCTTCACTCCCTCGACACCCCAATTGAACTGTTTTCCACTCCGGAATCCTTGCTCTTCCAATCAGTCTTTCGCCCGATATTCCCGCTCATCTAGGGCTCCTACTGCTTGGTTCTCCCTCATAGTTACAGGGGCATCGGCAAAGTTATAGGACTTGCACAGCGTATCCTCCTTGGTCTGTCTGCCTACTATTACTGGTATTATCGCCCTTATTCCAATTAATGACAGTCTTCCCAACCGTCCAGTCCGTCCATCTTTGTGATAGGACGGAACGGACTATAGCCGGTAGTCCGTTGTTCTGGCAGTGCCAGGACGGGCGACACCCGGGACTTGTAGGACTGGATGGACTACAGAGGACTACGGTCTTGCTGCCTAATATCTTATAGAAAAAATGATAGTCTCTCGGTAGTCCCTTGCAGTTCTTCGCCGTCCTTTGCAGTCTCAGGCAGTTCCCTACAGTCTCTCGCAGTCGCCGATAGTCCCCTGCCGTCCATTGTAACGCCCCGCCGTCCCCGGAGGTCCCCCACCGCCCCCCTTACCAACCCTGTTTTACCACAGAACCCACCGTCCTGCCCAAAGACTGCCGTCCTCTACTTTCACCGCCCAGGACGGACCATACATGGCCGTCCCGTCCCGTCCAGGGCTCTTGGAAGTCCCCCCGTGGGGCCCCGGCCGCCCCCCGGATGGTTGGGAATACTGATTAATGACTTAATCCATCTAGATATCTCAGAGCGATGACTTCTCAGTCCTGAACCCTAGAGGCTGATTTCTATCGTCCGACTTCCAGCCGGTCCCCAAAGTTTTCCCTTACACGGCATGTTATAATTCAGCTTACAGCTCGAATATCGCGCCACCCAACCTTTCAAGAGGCCCAGTTTTCCTGAAACTAAGCTCGTGTTACGGTTAGTTGGGGTGAGACCATTTGATGAATTCCATTATCCTCATCGCCTAAATCCTTGCATGGAGCGCCGGGCTCGGGTATTCCATGTCCATGGGTTGGACCAGGCCTGGGAATGTTCAACCTATGTTACCCTCTCAAATTCTACGGATGGTTTCAATCACAGGGGGGGCTTAGTATGCCAAGTCTAGGGAGCGGGATCGTTTCCTGCTACTTAGTGAGCCTTAATAGGAAGTTCCGACCCATTGGAAAGCTTGCTGCTCTGCGGAGACTATCTTCCCGCACCAGGATATGAAGTCAAGAGATTCGCTAGCTGAAGTATGGGGCGCAACGCCGATTCGCGCATTACGTTTTTACTACTAGCGACAGCTGGCTTGATTGTCCTGGTTCCCCGCTACCCCCCCCCCCCCCCAGGCTCCTGGGTAGTGGCTCCCAAAAGCGATGAAATGGGAGTGGACAATCTTGCGCAGTCTGTCTCGGGTCTTGGAAAACACGGATGGCCGCCTCCGTGTTAGAGGGCAGTCCCAATACGGTGGCATGATGGAGTTAGAGAGGAAGGGAGGGCGGTCAGGGATGATAGAAAGCTCCATGATTAGTGGGAGGCGGATGGGGATAGCACCGGCAATGCGGCAAGATTTTGGATTGAATTTTTTTGGGAGGTCTAATATTTATAACAGTGCAAGTAGGGTGGTGGAATACTGGATTTAGGGTTGCATGGGGGATAGCGACCGAATTTTGGAGCATTGGAAAATAAGGGAAACACATGGATAACTAGCTGTAGAAACCCAGCGCTAGCCGTGATATTGGCGTGTAGCCTCTCTACGGAAGTTCCCAACGAAGATGGGATAAACCCATGCTGGGTGTGTTCAGCAAGTCAATTAGTAGCCCTAGTAGATTTTCTATTTGAATATTGGATATTATGTCCCAGGTGGGGCCTTGCACTCGATACTGTACGATTGATTCTCTCCTCCTCTTGTTCCGATCTGGTATGGGTTTGTGCCTTAAGAAAGTAGGGGAAACATGGATTTTACTAGTAATTCTATCTCAAGATACTCCCGTCATGGAAAAAATGCGTAATGAAAAAGGGTCCTATTAGCTTGCCGAATCTCAAACCATATGGCGGTAGTCTCTAAGAGTCCATCTGTCTGACCGTTCCTGCTTGCACTCCATCCCAGCGCCCCCGGAATGATTTATGAACGCTTACTTTCTGTCTCGCCGTGTAGTGCTTTGAAGCAGGAGCAGCCGGGTTGCTCCTACAATAGGAAGTATGTTAACAGGGGAAGATAAAGAAGACAAAAATAGTTAGTGCTACCAGGTGGTTGGCATATGTTTAGAACAACGTATATTGCTATTAGAGGTGAGCAGAAAAATAAAAAGGAGGAATTCTTCCGATTACACAAAGCAAAGCACAAAAAACCATTCTCAGGATCTTAGCTTATCTCGTGAACCCCAAGCCAAAGAATCTGTAGCTAATGACAACTCCCATCCTGTCCTGCAACACTATCGTAGCACAGAAGACATGCTAGATATGCTTGAGTTACCGAAGTAGGAGGACCTATAAGGTAATCATCCCTATAGTTCCCCTCCTGGTCCTGAAGCTTCCTTATAAACTCTTGAAAAAGTGTGAAAAAGTGGTTATGGCATTGTTGAGTCCTGGCGGCACGGGCTGTTGCATGAAGATTGAGAAGGTTTATGGTTGCCTGCTGTCCTGTGCAGGTTAGAAAGATTTCTCGCCTACTTGGTAAGAAGGGGAGTACTTACTGAGTTGTGCTATAAATACTGGATATATCCCATACAGATACTTGAAAGTGTTCAAATCGTGTCTTGCCCGGGTGGCTTCGGTATAAAGCAAGCTATCGGTAACAACATCTCCTTCGTGGACCTGTAGATTCCCCTGTTGGATATACTGGCGATCTGATTCACTTTGTTCTCCGCCGCATTTATCCCGTTTAAATGTACTAATGAATCGGTGTCGCACACAGAGATAATGCTCCTGAGAACGCGTCAAAACACGGACCCGTGCCTCAAGCGATGCATTGTTGAGCTCCAGTTGACTGACTTTCTGCCCTAGGGAGTTGGCATGTTGCTTGAGCTCAACAAATGCTCTGGTGGAGGAGGCTTGTTCAAGGCCCGCTTGATTACCGACCAAAGGAATGCTGTAGCGTGTTTCGATAGACAGTTCATCTGTCTGTAGTGCTACTTGCAGGGAATCTTTTGCTTCCTCTTTCATTACCACTTCATCACCAATATTTACCGAGGTGACTAAGATAGCCAGGCATTTGTTTGAGTTATCGGTTGAGTGGGTGAGGGTTCCCGAGTCATAGTTCAACTGGGGTGTCGAGTCACTTCCTGAATCTTCCGTCGTCGTGCCCGTTGGGCGTCCGGTTGCCCCGCGTCCGGTTGCTCCACGCTCTCTTGCCCCGCGCCTCCATGCCCCACGTTTCTTCTCCGACATCTTGCGTTTTAGAGGAACGCTGGTTTAGTGCAAAGTGAGTTTTAGGAGGGTTGGGTGGAGTAGAAGGCTGAGTAGGAGGAGAGATTTGGTAAGGTGAGGAGTTGAGAAGGATGAGGGGTAAGGCACGATGAGAGGTTACGGTAGACCGTGTGAGGTGTCAGCGACACCCACAGCGAGGCTTGGCGATATTTGGCAGCAAAGATTGCCTACTCGCGCGGCCGAGTTGAAGTTGGACACCCAAAGAGCGTGGTGGCCGCTGGGCCAATGAACGAACGTCCCCGGGGTGCTAAGCAAAGCGATGTAATTCTATATTATACCGTAGGTAACAAGTGGTATCATATGGTGGCAAAGTGTGAAAGACCACTTTTGATTTTTTTATACCGTAAATTATTATTAATTGTGTTGTCCGGAGTGAGCTCACTATTGGTCCGGCGATCGCTGCTCTATCTGGGTATCCAACTTCAACACGGCCGCGCGAGTATGGTACGGTCAACGACAGTAGGGAGCCAAGCTGTGCCGCGCGTCGCTGAGGGTGTCGCCTCGCTGAGCCCTCACACGGTCTGGAGGGGATGAGTGATTTGGTAAGGCAAGGGATTGGGAAGGGGGGTGGGGTTGTTAAGGCAAGAGGTTAGGCAGGGTTAGGGTTTAGTGGGACGAGGGGTTCAGGGGGGAGCAGTTCAGTAGGGTTGGAGTATACCAGTAGTATGATACAGTACAGCTTATAATAAACTAACAAAAATTGTGAGAAAAGTGGGCTGACAAAAGAAGGTTTTTAATAATATATATCTGAAAACTACATTGAATGAAAATTGGAGAGGACCAGGATGTAGTCAGCCTTTGTTTCTGCTTGTACTAAGGATGTGGTAGGTTGCCACAACTCCCTACTGCTTGCTTGAAATATGAATAGTGCCTATTAGTTCAATATAACTTAGTATAATGGACAAGATCCGGGCAGGTAGTTCCAGGCATGCCACAGTCAGGCTCTGTGTCACGGCCACCTGGCATGATGGACGCAGCGGAACATTGGACTTTTGGTTGCATATATCAGCTGTGGTTTTATTGGTTGCACTGTAGGATTTCCTTTGTATTATGATTGGGATAGGTTGCCACGCGACGGAACCTCGCGGAACCAGACGGAAGGATCGCGGCTGCGTGCGACGCCAAAGGCCTTCTTTTGAATTAGTGATCATGGAGGATTTCCTATCTATATAAGGGGGTGTGCCCCCTTATACTTTATGTTCTTTACGCAATCTGGTAATCTCCTTCGGACACCCTTTCTTCCTCGCCCGCGGGCCTGGATGCCTTCTTTGCTATGAGGCTTCCCACGGGAATAACCTCTGGCTCTTTGATGGTTTCGATCATCGCTTTACAGTTGGACCTTCGTTTCGGTAAAACAGTTTCGGCTTTCCTGTCTTCGTTTCCCCGCAGGATTTCGCGTTCGTTTCGTCGGGTTAGGGGGGTTGCGTCCCTGGCTTCCCCCGGGATCACAGGTTTGAGACTGGATAGCTTAGGTTTACTTTCGCTGACATCCTTTCTCCACTGTTGGCTGAGGGCTTCGGCTCCTCGGTTCTACATCGATAAGGTTCGAATACACGGTCGCTCGTCGTCCTCGTCTCGCTCCTTCGTCCGCCCGTTTCTCGCGATAATGGTCCGGTCGCTTGCATTTACGGTGTCTTTTTGGGTCTCCTCCCCGCGGGGATGGCTTTGACCCTGAGATTTGTCCCCCCCTCCCGGTTTATCTGGGGTGGTGTGGGGTGGTTGGCTCTCGGCTCCCCTGGTTGGGGCTGATGTGTGCCGGCCCGGTTGGGAACCCGGCATGGCGCTGGGGCTTGGCGGTCGCACCCATTACAAGTGTGGCCTACCTACCTGGTGGCTGGGGACCCGGTCGGGTTGTTACGGGTTGGTGAGGTGCCGCACCCGATGTTTCCCCTTGATGGGCGGTCGGCTCTGTGGCGTGGGGATTTTCTACTGTGGGGGTTTACTTTGTTGGGTTTACGGGACGGTATTCAGACCGGATTTGTATTTTGATTTGTTTTATTTTGTGATGGCCGTGGGCCGTAACTACCTTCCCCTCGCTTAGCCGGACCAAGGACTTCGGTCGCTCTGTTCCGGTTGGGTTGGGTGTCGGTTTGTCGGTTGGGGCGGGGGTGATCGGGGCTGTTGATGGACTTGTACCTAGCTTTCGTGTTTGCTCGCTCGCGGAGGTGTTATTGGTTTGGGTTTGGAGGTCTTTGGTCTTGTTTATAGTTGTTACGCGCGCCGGTGTATCGTGGGGACCCCGGCCCCAGGCAGTTGCTTTC